GATATTTGTTCATAATGTATTGCAAATTAAATTTAATTATTCAAATGAATAATAATTATTTTAAATTATTAAGATATTAGAATAAAAAACTATTTTATTTTTGATAATTGGAATATTGTTGAATTTTGTGTTATTTCAATTTATTTATACATAATTACAAATAGAAATATTTATAATTTTATAAATTTTAATGAAATTCCTGAAATTTAAAATTAAAGTGTTTTAGTTAAACTTTATCGTTAATATTATTCTATTACGAGCTAGAGTTCAATTCTTGTGTGTGTCTGTATCAATTATAATTAATTTATTATATTTAGCTAAATCTTTATTTTAACTTGAAAAATTGACACATACAATTGTGTATATTAGGAATATAAAATTTTTAACAAAAGTTATCTATGAAAATGATAGTATTCTTCAATTTTATTTTAATTAATTAATTAATTTTTTTGTAAATAAAATGTTATTTACACTAAAATATATAAAAATGTGGAAGTTGACATGTACTTACAATAAGTAAAAATAAAATGTTTAGAAGTAATATCAAAAGTATTTTAAGAAAAATTGACTTGACTATTTTAAGACTTTTCCGAATTGTTTCATATAAATATCCAAGTATTCTTTTTTATAGAGTAATAAAATTTGAAAAATTTAAACGAGAAAAAATTATATTGGTATTATAGGAATATTTTTTTAAATCTAATAATAATTAATTTTACAATCAATTTCAAGGGTATTAATATGCACTTTCAAACATCAATAAGATACAAGAATTAAAATACAAAACAAAGTTTAATTACCTAAACAAAAGTTAAACAATTTTTTTTATTTACTCTATAAATCTTAAAATAAATGAAAATATTACTTAATATAATTTTAACTGCGTCTATGGTTTATTTTAGTTAAATGAACTTATATTTATACGGAGGCGTATAACGTTAGTTTCAACCTTTGCCTCAGAGGCTTAAAAAGTATTGTTTAAGTTATTTTTAGTTTCGAGTATAAAATACGCTTATTTCATATATACACATCTAAATAGAATTTTAGTGTTATGCAAAATCGAAATCTTAATACATACATTTGGTTGAGTATTTTATTTTATTATTATCTGTTTAGTTTTTCATATTTTATTCAACACTTAATTGACAAAAACTCTCATTCCACTAGAATGTAATATTGTCTTTTTTTTTTTACTTTTATTTAATGAAAAATTAATTAATTTTTTTTTCTGTGACACTACATAAGAACTAAATTAAGTTGGTTAAATTTAATGTCTACGTAAACGTTAAAATCTGTTGTTGTTTTTTTTACAAAACCTAAAGGAAAATTTACATCATGCCAAAATTATATTACATATAAAGTATAAACGGAGATAATTCAATAAAATTTCATGTAAATGAAAATAAAAATGCCTAGTAATTTTAATATTAAATTACTTGGATGAAAAGTAAAAAATAATCTTAATATTTTATGTAGCCTGTGATTCAATAAAGATTTAATAATATTTTTAGCGGACATTCCTTGTATTAAACTAGATGGATCCGACGAAAACAATTGTGATGAGTACAGTTTATATTAATTGGATAAGTTTGTACACCAAAATCCAAATAATAGTAGTTTGAAGAAAATGTTGAAAAACAAATACGCTATGATTTGTCTTTTTAGTAATTTTTTTTGAATTGCAAAAGTTTTAATCTTAGTATGCGGTAAGTGTAAATGTATCCACTAATTGTTCAAAATACATTCAGGCTTTTGTTTTGTAATTTTAAACTTTCTATTTAGTATTTATTTTGTATATTTTACGGGACAAGTCCACGATAAACATTAAAATTTAATTGATAGCACATCATAAATAACACAAAAATAGATAAATACATAATATAAAAAATAATACAACTAATTTATGAGGACAAAATATTTAAATTTAGATTTAAGATATTTGTTAAAAACATTATTATTGAAATATTATATTTATTACAGTTATACATAATTCGAATTATGTATAAATTATTAACACAATTAGTTCTATAAAAAATAAATTAAAATATCTAATATTCATGAACGTAAAAAGTAAATTTCTCTAAAAACTCTAGGCAATAATAGATACCATTCAAAACATTATATAAAAATGAAAAATAATTTATTAATCTTCTAGTAATTAGAGATTCAATACAAAAGAGACTATGTATTGCATTAACTATACTGATTTTTTTTGAAATGCTTACGTTTCAATAACTTTTAGTCGGATATTAGTGAATACAATTAATAATAAATTTTCCGTTTGAGTATGTACTTATGGAATAAGTCATAAATTACGTCCGTAAATAAACTAATAAAAAAATAATAATAAGCCAAATGCCTATTACACTAGTAATTTACTGCGTTATTAAAATTATTTTAACATCGCATAATACATAGTCACATAATTTCTTGCGTACTTATAGATCACAGACTATGTAAGCAAGATGAATTTCGTTGTGACAACGGACAGTGTATTTCATTATTATACAAATGCTTTGATACTGGAGACAACCAATTGGGCTGTGTAGATAAATCACACTTAAAACACTGCAGTATGATTATTATTTTAACTTATGAAGTATTATTATCAATTAATTTTATTAAAATATCAGGTGACTGGAAGTGTGATCAAGGACAACATAAATGTCACCGTGGACCATGTATCAATGAATCAATGGTATGCAACAAACAAGTTGATTGTGATTTTACATGGGACGATGAGGATAATTGCAGTGATTATCTATTAATATTTATTAAAAAAAAATTTTTTTTTGAAATGTTTATTTTATTTTTAGCTTTCCAATGTTCTAATGTGGCGTCTAAATGTGATTGTCAGGATGTAATGATAAACTGCACGAATCTTGGATTACGTGAATTTCCGTATGACGCTGAAAAAGAAATAACATTCTAGTTAGTTTAGCATAAAAATTTAACACATACTTAATTTTTAATAAAAATAGTTTTTATTTTTTAAGCCATTTAAAAAGCAACTACTTCGGAGAATATCTCAACTCAAAAACTTTCCGGCATTTAGACCGTTTAGTTTACTTGTAAGTCGAGCATATAAAATTTTCTTGTTAAAATATTCGTTATGTTAAATTTATGTTTCTTTCTAATTTAATTGATTAATTCTTTAAAATTTATGTTATCATTTCTAGGGACCTGACCAATAATTCGGTTTCAGAAATTTAACCTTTTATATTTTCCACTCTTTGGCGTTTGACAATATTAAATTTACAAATAACCAAATATCTATTTTAAGAAACGGCTTGTTTCTCGGACTAGGTAGGCTGACTGGATTGTAAGTATAAAACAAACATTCAATTTACCGTTTCATTGCTACACTATAAAAGCTAAAATGTCGTCTTATAAATTGTGTACGTAGGCATTTAGAAGGTAACAGCATTCAGTATCTTCATTCAGTATCTTCATTCAATGGCGTTTCACGGTCTGTCCTCTTTGATGACATTGTAAGTATATTAATTTATGTAATAATCTGCAACATAAATAAGATTACACATTGATAACCATATGACAACAATTTTCCCAGAGACTTGAGCTGACAAAATATATCCCAGATTGAATCGGACGCATTTGTCGGTCTTAGATCACTCAAAAGCTTGTGAGTAATTAATTATTTTTGTTTATTTAAAAAATATTTATTGTATATTATAAAGCACAAATATTATCAGGGATTTATCGCAAAATTCTCTTACACATTTGTCGGATGGTTCTTTTCGAGGAATGCCTCAATTGAACATTTTGTGAGTAAAATTAAAATTTTCATTTTATTTGAAACTTTGAATTAATTTTCATATTTTTTGAAGGAACCTTAAAAAAAATCGATTGAGAACAGTTGATCTTAGCGGGTTTCTCACAATGCCTACTCTACAGACACTGTAAATAAAAAACAATTACATTTTTTAATTTAACATTACCTAGTTATTCATTTATTTTATTGCGAATTTTTCTAGATTTACTGATGCATTTCGTTTTTGCTGCTTAGCACGGCACGTACCTCAGTGTCGCCCTTTGCCTGATGAGTTTAGCTCTTGTGAAGATCTCATGTCCAATATCGTACTCAGAGTGTGTATTTGGATATTGGCCATTGTTGCAATTACTGCAAATCTTATTGTAATTATATTCCGAGCCAAGTACAGGCATACCAACCAAGTTCACTCGTTTCTCATTGTCAACTTGGCACTTGGTGATTTTCTAATGGGATCCTACTTGCTAGTTATAGCTGTCGTCGATTGGTATTATCGAGGATCATACTTTATTCATGACTCTGACTGGAGGCAAAGTACCATGTGTAATGTGGCAGGATTTATAAGCACTTTTCCAGTGAATTATCTGTTTTTACATTGACTGGTAAGTTGTTTGTCCAAACGTATTTGGAAATTATGGAATATTATTGAATTTTCTATTTTTTAGTTATTACTTTAGAAAGACTGTTAGTTATAATATTCCCATTTAAAATCCGTCGACTTCAAATGGACTGTACACGAATTTTGATGGCTATATGTTGGTTTTTAGCTATCATTATTTCTGTAATACCTTTGTTTGACATTCATTACTTTAGGTAATGCTTAGTTATAATATTTTAAATAATTATTTAGTTCTTTTAATTTTTCTATAGAAACTTCTACAGACGTTCTGGCGTATACTTAGCGTTACATATCACACCCGATAAACCTAACGGTTGGGAATACTCAGTATTCATATTTGTATGTAGGTGTTACCGAAAAATATTTTATTTAAAATCTAATAGATTTTTAATATTTAGTTGTCAATCTGGGTTCGCTATTATTGATATCCGGTAGTTATCTCTGGATGTTTTTCGTAGCCAAGACAACTAACAGGGCAACAGAAAATCTCATTAGGCATCGTGTGCTCAGTGAATCTGCAATGGCATGGCGAATGAGTCTACTGGTTGCTACAGATGCTGCTTGTTGGGTGCCTATAATAGGCTNACAGACGCTGCTTGTTGGGTGCCTATAATAGGCTTAGGTTTATGGTCCCTCGCGGGATTCACTGTACATCCACAGGTAAAATGTATTTTTAATGATTTTATCATCTCTAAGAGTAAACAATTTATTAAACTTAAAAACGTTTAAATACTTGTAGAATTATCCGTTGATTTTTTCATTTGAATATTTATAAAACACCGAAAATGTTTACAAAATATTTACACACATTTCAAAACATTATTTGTCTTTTCAATAAAACAAAAATCATAAAATTGATATTTTATAATACTTTAATATTTAATACTCAATATTCTAATTTATCGAAAAAGATGTTAAAGTTTTAATTGTAAAGATTTAAATAGCTTACAAATTTTTACCGTCCACTTTTTGAAGAATATTTTTTAACTTATATAATTGAAAAATAAACATTCAAATCAAATTATTTATTTCATAATAAACAATAATTATTCACACTATACCTCAAAAACTAATTTATTTGATAAAAATCGAATTCTAAGTAACGGAAAAATAATGCAAGTTTGTAGTAATACCTCAGCTTATATACTTATGTTATAAATTCCAAATAATCATTTCAAATAAAAATTTTTTAATCTAGTTTAAAACTGTCGTATCTGATTATACTTGTAAAAAAAATTAGTTAACTTCAACTTATTTATAATGTTTAATATGAATGTACTTATTTGTGTATTTTATTATCAGATGCTATTAAAATTTTCAACTAATACTAAGAGTAATTTTTATGGCATCATGATATCTATATTAAAACCATAACATACCATTCTTTTAATTTAAGAACTAATATCATCTGATTTCAATACATTTTTTGTGATGTTATTTTCTTATTATACATTCTATTTTATTTTTGAATCTTACGTACGTTAAAAAATGTTTGATTATTTTCAATTTATCTAATATTAAAATTTATTTTAACTTTAATCTGTGCTTGTAATGTCTACCAAAAAGTTTAAATCAACTATAGACCAAAAGATAAATACATGAATTGGTCACTTTTAGATATAATGTCGTACATAACTACAAGAGGTCACAGAACGCAAAGGGTTTACTGTAATTTTGAATAATATAACTTCATCGCACACGTTTTGTTTTGTACTGTTTGACTTTACTATAATAATATTCAATTGTAATTTATTGTTGTTTCAANTTTGTCCTGTTTGACTTTACTATAATAATATTCAATTGTAATTTATTGTTGTTTCAAAAATACAGTTTTTGTTTTCTACTTTATTGAAAATACACTAAAAGTTTATTTGTCTTTTATCCTGTAACATTTTATTATTTCGGTAAATAAATGCGTTTTTTGCGTACAAGAAATAAATAATAAAAAATTTCCCTCGGTTCGCACAATCAGAAACTTGTAAACACATTGTATCTACGCTATAAGAATTAGTAGTATAATAAAGTCGTAGAAGTTATATGTCAGGAAACAATAATTTAAATGATATTTATATTACTTAAAAAAACGAGTTGCTTTGTATTAATTTAATAATAACAAGCAGAAATTATTTAAGTATTTTTTTACAATCATTATGTCTAAATAGAGAATCAATTGAATCATTAAACATTTTTTTTATTGTAATTATCTGTTAAGATAAAATTCAATTTGCTAACCAAAAACTAAAACTATTTTTATTTAGCTTTTATTTCAACATATAAAAGAAACAGTTCTTACACGCTTTCGTTACACAAAAAATAAACATAATTTAAATAATTCATATAACATGAATGAAGGGATATGAATGTATTTTTAACAATAGTAAGAAACAAAAATATTAAAAAAAAGCAAATAAATCTAAACTATTAACAAACTAAAGTTTTTCGGTTGTATTGGAATGACATGATGCCCGGAAGAAACTCTAGTTAGAATAATTTTTTTTGTTCAAAAAAAAAAGGCGTGAAAATATTATAATTATTATGGTTCTTTTTTTGTGTGTTTATACAGTCGCAAATTTTTACTATTTCATATTAAAACAAAAATAATGTTTAATAAAACACATAAGTATAATTAATGATTATTTTAAAACAAAAACCTACCGGTAAAAAAACACAAAAATGCCATTTCAGTATTTTGTATTTCCAAACGTTAAATAGTAATTAATAAAACTGAAGTTGAAAGAAACTCTTAAAATTAAAAGTAGTTAAACGTTCTAATATTTGATTTTACGAAGATCGCAAAGAAAAAAAATACTAAACAATGCCACTAAAATTTATTAAATAGTAAAAACTATTAAAATAGCGTATTTAGATTGTTCAATTTTCCAAACTAATGCAAATTAATATTGTTTTTCAGATGTGAATGATGCGAAGTGATGACATTTTAAATGATCAGCAAGATTCCTTCCAGGTACACTATGCTTTTCTTTATTAAGATGATTTTCACGTGATTTGTAAGGTTCAAACGATTGTGTCCAAATGTACACATTTTGCACTTAAAGTTTAAACCAAACCATATCAAATGTAACAAGCAAGAAAATAATAGGCAACCGTAGACGGAAAAGACCTTTTATTAAATTTAACTTTCATTTTGTTATCAATTTGTTTTAGTTCACTTAGTATTGAAACGAGTTCACAAATACTTAAAAAGAAAATGTTTAAGTATACTAATAATATATTTACCATAAACAAAGTCTCTCGCCAACGGAATAATCAAATTATACATCCCAAACTTAAAATTCAAATCATCATTTTCTCTAATTAAAAATGCTCATGTAAAAACTCATGTGAAAATAAAATTAAAAAATTATACATCAGTAATACGATTATTCCTAAGGATGGGTCGAATATAAGTTCTTGAACTAACCAAATTAGCTTTTTTTCTTCTAATACAATAACACATTTTTCCAGTGTTCGAAAAAAAATGATTATTTTTGTAAATTATATGTTAATTGTAATGTAAATACATAATTATAGTGAGCCAAAAGTAAGGTTTTGGTTGGTGTATAATATAATAAATAAAATTGGGTGTGTTGATTAATTAATTTGAATTTTGAGCACTTGAATAAATTTAATCATCTTACTTTCGGTTACTATAATTCAGTTTGTTTAATATCATTGGGGTCGTGGAGTCCGAGGGTTTTATAGAATGACAATACAATTTAATAAAAGGGTTATGATAAATGTTGAGATTTAATGTGTGTATCAAATTTTACAAACTTTGGTGAATCATTTGAAAAGTCTCACGTTTCAAAGAGCACGAGCTTATGTCGGCAACTATGAAGCGTAATAAGAAAATGCGTAGGTACGATCTTTGGTCAAGCACTTCGAACGCATTTAATAATTCATTTTGACAAACCAGTCAATAAATTTGGTATTTGTATTAAACTTATAAAACTTAGTAAATCATTTGAATAGTCTCACGTTTCAAAGAGGACGAGCTAATGTCGGCAACTATGAAACGTAATAAGAAAATGCGTAGGTACGATCTTTGGTCAAGCACTTCGAACGCATTTAATAATTCTCATGAAAAACCAGTTAATAAATTTAGTATGTGTAAAGATAAATTAATTACTATTGTTTTGTCATTTTCTTCTCGGATTAAATAATTCCAAATTATTGGAATTAAAATGTATCACCTACTTTATAATGTTTGTGCGGAATTGAAATGAATAAGACTGACAAGTTTTTCTTTCTGAATATTTGAGAGACTGGTGGTCTATTGCTTCATTTGACTCTAGGCTTGAGAAGTGGAATGTCCCTATTTTATAGCTTTTTACGGCTTTTTATATGAAATCTATGATCTATATATGTCACTAAAATGTAGGAATTGACCACCAGAGCTCTCATCTTTATTGAAACGAAAATTATAAGCAGGGATAATATATTGCATTGGTTGTGGTACATATGATTTTTGTTAGGGATACTGTTACTTAATACATTGTCTTTGTAGATTAATTTACAGTGTTTACATTTATGATACAGATATTAATTTTAAACTGAACAAGTACAAATATTGTATTAATTACATTAGTGATTATGCTATGATATCAATTTAAGATAATTATTTGTTTTATGATAAACATTGCGAATAATATTAAATTTGAGCGATGAACGGTATCACAACAGTTTTATGTNCAATGAACGGTATCACAACATAATTTTCACTAACACATTATTATTTGATCTAATAACAAATATTAAAAAATATATTATCTCTGAAAAATTATTTTTAATTATCTTTTAACCTTATTATCAACTTTGTTTTGGTATAATTATTTATTTTAGTTGTATGAAGATAACGCATTTCTTTAATTATTCGTTTTTACAGGGGCCCTAAAATTGTTGAGACTGAAATGACTGAAAATGGAAAAGTTACGGTGGGGAAAAAGATATGAACAGCAATGGCGAACAAACCACGAGACCCCTATAACCTATTCGTACCGTCAAATATTATATATAAAATTTGCTCAGTGTTTACCGCCCTTAAAAGTGTGATATAATTATAATTGTACATAACAAATAACAATGAATAAATGAACTATTACCTCAATAACATTTTATTATTTAAAATGATCCGAACGAGATGTAACTTACTCAAGATATCTTGATTGTATTCTTTTCACTCACATAGTCATAAAAAACCCTTTATTTGTTCATACTATATTTTCCAGTTTATATAAATTATTAAATTTATAATACGAAAATACACTGGTATCTTCATAAACGCTTAAAATAATAGGCTACGCAAATCTTTTTATGACTACTAATATTTATAAGCTTTGTTGAGAACACGTGCTTTTAAGTATTGTCTAAGTTAATTAAGATGAAAACACATTTTTTGTCACTTGATAAAATGAGATTGCTAGTCAATGTGAAGTTAAACTTTACTGCTCCAAATACAATTGTGTATAATTTGTACACCATAAATTAAATTCTGGTTAATTTTTAAATTAACTATATAATGTAAAACTTCCATAAGGCTGTAAAAAAGTCACGTATTTTTAAATATTAATGACTATTTAAGCCAAGTATAATGAACAAGTTGTTCTTCACACAATGTTATTTAATCATATTGCCAGACTGATCCCGTCAGTAGTTGTAATTTATAATGATTTTATATTTTATACAGAGTGATCAAAATCTGGCAAGATATTTTTTTTCTTAGAAACTATTGAGCATTTAAAATTTTTATGAAGAAAAAATGAAGTTCTAAATTTGATATAACACTTTATTACAAAGAAAAAATGTTATTTTTATACAAAACACTTGCATATTATTAATAAACAATGAGTTTTATTAACCAAAATAATATTTATAAGGCATACTTTAGAGCAGTAGACATTATGTAAAAAATTCCACGAATAATCTTTAATGGAAAATAATATTATTACTATCAAAATCTACTTTATTTTTATTTTGTCATAAAACGAGTTACAAAATAATTAATGAAATAATAAATTATATTTTTAACGGAGCAAAATCTAAAATTTTTGAAAATTACTAAAATAATTTGTCTGTATCATTTAATGATACAGAAAGTAATCAGTATAAGATAAACCGATAATAATAGTTACTTGTATATTTATTTAGAGGATATTGAACATAAGTAGAAATTTATAAAAAATAATTCGAATCAATTCTTTCAAAATCTAAAATAGCATATCATTTCAGTTGTTGTTATTTATGAATTAAGTAATAGATGTATTCAATTTTATAAGATCTACATTATAAATCATTGTGACCTGAGATTTTGTTTCCATTATTCGTCTAATCTTCATATATTCTACGTACTACTAATTAAAAAAATGACACGACTTACGTCGCAAAAATGTGATCGACATGTAATATTGTATTATTACTTATAATATTAAAATATTATATTATGTTATCTTCTGTACATGTATGTCATATATTATGAATTCACAAGATCACCAAAACAAGGTTCCCTTATTTAAGACTTAAAATAATCAATAAATTAGTCAATTAAATCTGACTATCGTACAGATTCAAAGTCACGCCCATGTGTGGGTTCTCAACTAAGTCCAGCCAATCACATTTAAATATTAATTAAGATCCATAGTTTCTAAGATCACACTAGGGATAGCTACACGACCCTCGTCTACTATAAAAACCCATTTTTTCCTTTTAATATCAGTTCTTTCGGCTATTTTAAATTACACAAAATCTGCGACACTCTACTCAAGATTCTACTCTCTGGGACTTAGTTTATTTTTTAATTTATTTGGACTTAGAATATTTTTCTTTAAAACTAAATGACACCTAGAGATTTTAAAGTGAATTTTGTTTTGGTGAATCTTTTAATTTAATTTAATTTGTTCATTAAATAATAATATTTTATTTTTATTTTACCATGGAAATAAATGTCAATTAATATTTTAAAATAAAACATTTTTTTTTTATATATATATAATAAAACCGAATCAACTCTAATTTTCTCAGTTAATGATAAATATTTATTATATGACTAAGTGTATTGCAACTCTATACTTATTGGGTAGCTAATCTTCTGTGGTTTAATGTCTTTGTTCTAACGAACATCGCGCCGGCAGACAGAGTAAAGGTTGCAATTAAATATTTTTAAAGTTAGGTGTTAGGTTAGAATATATTTGTAAGCCTATGTGTATTGGGTAGCTAATCTTCTGTGGTTTAATGTCTTTGTTCTAACGAACATCGCGCCGGCAGACAGAGTAAAGGTTGCAATTAAAGAATTTTAAGGTTAGGTGTTAGGTTAGAATATATTTGTAAGCCTATGTGTATTGGGTAGCTAATCTTCTGTGGTTTAATGTCTTTGTTTTAACAAACATCGCGCCGGCAGACAGCACAGAGAAACTTACAAATATATGTTTTTAGTGTTTAATTTTTGTCTTGGTGATTATTGTGCCGCATCCTTTCAAGGTGCTTTAATTTAGCACCGGGACACATTGGGCCACCACAATTCCGCCCTGACAAATCTTTTACATAGATATAAATATTTCTGAATCTTGTTTTGGTCAGGCCAGAGGAAAATTTAAGAAATATTGGTGTCGATCTCTCAATAAAATATAATCTCTCAAACAATATACTCATTCTACTAAGTCAACTAAAGATACATTATTTGATTATAATTATAAAAATATAGAGTGTATAGAATCTCTTGCATATAATAATACAGTCATAGATTTTGTGTAATGGTTTCGTATTATTTATAATTAATCGCTTTATTCTCAAACGGTCATATTTACTGTCTAACTCAGAGTGTACAACGTGTGAAATACAGTGTGAACTCATAATCAACATTGGATTGTCTAAAATAAGCATTACACTACGTGGGATACAAGGTAAGTACAAATTTAAATTCCCGCTTTCAAATTATAAATACTCTATTGCGTAATAAACCATTAAGATAGGTAATAAAGTTTGGTAGGATAATTGACTTNTAATAAAGTTTGGTAGGATTCTTCTTCAAGGACACTTCAATGAGAAAAGAAATCCTGAAAATGTAAATTAATATAATAGAGGATATGTATGAAGGCACTTTTACCAGGGTAATAAGTGTGGGAGGAGTAACAGAAGGTTTTAAGGTAAAAGTATAAGTGTACAAAGGTTTTGCTTTAAACCCTTACTTATTTTCTATAGCGATGGATAAAATTACTAGAGAAATACACGAGGAAGTGCCGTAATGCATGTTGTTCACTGATGATTAAGTGTTAATAGGAGAAAATAGGGAGGAAATTAATCAAAGGCTAAAGGTGTGGAGATTAGCTCTTGAAGAAAAGTGTTTAAGAATAAGTAGGAGTAAAAGAGAGTTTATTGAGTATAGTTTGACAGAGGAGAACACGAGGTAAATGAAATAATGAGAGAAGTGACAATAAACGAGGACGTAATAGGAGAGTTTTAAGGGGCACACCTAGTGTAACAACCTAAAAAAAGGCCATTTTTGGGAATTAAAAAAAAAAAAAAACTAGCGAATCCATCTATTTAAAATTTTGAGGGTATATTTATACATGTTTTGAGAATACACGGTAAAATTTTTGAAATAAAATATTAAATATTTTTGAAATGACACGCGATCTCCGGCGGCGCCAAAAAAAAAAGGTCCTCCACTGCTAGAGTGATTGCAGCCTTCTCCGTTGATAAAACCTAAAAAAAAAAATTCTCGTTAAACTAAAACATATTGTCTGTACGATGACCCTCGGGCGAACAAAAAAATCAAAAATTAACAAAATGGCGGCATTTTGAAAAAAAAAGTTAAATTTTTCCCAAAATTTTGGTCGATTTTGGCCTGCCAAAATTCGATTTTTGATCAGATCAAAAAACTGGAGGGTCATCGTATGGAGAACTATATAGAGGAGATGCAAAAAAAAATTTGATAGCGATCAGATCATTTGTCTCCGAGTAATCACTCCAGCAAATTCGAAAAATGCTGTTTCGAGAAAAATGCGTTTAAAGATAAAATGATCGTTTTCACTGTTATAAATGGATTAAAATCATACTTACAGCTAATCTGCTATTCCAGGCCCATATAATTCACCTTCCTCTTCCTCAAAAAGTGCTTGTTGAGCTGAAGAAGCTCTTCTTCGAGATGATCGACCCTCTTTTGAACAAGCCCGTTGGCGATGATCAGCGATTCGTAGTCTCGTCTCGTTCTTAAGAGCCGTATAATCTCTTGCTGCAGGTCCAACTTTTACTCCCATTGCATTAAATATCTTTAAAATTGAGGAGTAACCGTCATTGAATATTGAAGTTGCAAAAAAATTTGCTAATTCAATAGTTTTCAATCCATTATGAAGGTGCTTTGGTGAAAAGTGCCAAAGTAAACCGTTGTAACTTTCATTATTATTTTGAGTATTACTACCTTTGCATCTATCAAGCAATTCATGCCGAGATAAATCTTCATAAATAGGCTTTAGACCTTTTTCAACTTCTGGATCCAGTGGGAGGTAATCGTGCTTAAACTTACTTCAGGTATATCCCGTAGCCAATGCAACTATCTAACTGCCGAGCGGCTACTCTTTTAAATGGCTGTAACTCAAAAACTATTTAAGATATCGATTTAAAATTTTAGTATGTTATTTTTAAAGGTATAACCTATCAAAATATGGGGGAAAAAAAAATCGATTTTTTGAAAATTTCACACTAGGTGTGCCCCTTAAGTATTTAGGATCAGTTGTTCAAAAAGACGGTAGTATTGACGAGGATGCAAGACACAGGAAGTGTTTTACACTCTACAGTGCGGATGGTTTAATAAGGATAGAAGCGTCTGGTGCATCATGCAATAAAAGAATTCTAATGAGGTTGAAAGGTAAGTTCTATAAGACTGTAGTAAGACCAGATATGGATGTATGGTTCAGAGTGTTGGCACGGACGACAATAAAGTAGAGCATATAACGAGTGTAGCAGAGATGAGTGGAGTGACTAGAAAAGATGGGATAAGGAACGAACATATAAGAAGGAGAATGGGTGTAGCATCAATCGTGGATAAGATGAGAGAAAATATATTACTAAGATATATACTACATAAATACTTAGATGGTTTGGTCATGTTATGAGGAGAGAAGAATCAGAAGCTGTAAGAACAGTTATAGAAATGAATGTTGAAGGAAGAAGAGGTAGAAGTAGACCATATTATTTTAAGCATATATGAGATTACAATTATAAAATTTTATTTCATTTTTACAAAAACCTGTGTTTTTAGTACCATAAGTAGATTAAAATGAGCATTTAAAACATTTGAAGTTTTAAATAATCCATAAAAGCTGTAACGCATTTATAACTATTAGAAAATATAAAAATTCATTAACATGTGAATTAATGAAGTCGAAATATGATACGTATATATGTATATGGTATTGCCACAATTTTATGAGTGAGGGACTAGTTAAAAAAACTGCATTAACCATATTTTAATAAGTTTCAAAATATCACACTGAAACATTCTTTGAACTTTATTTATTAGACGGAAACACCCTCCAGAAAAATGTTTGGTTCACAACGATTCTATTGAAACGTTTACCGTATTAGGTTTTACCTTCGCGTAACTTGGACGAATAACTAAAAAAGAAAATATATAAAAATATATCACAATTTAAATTTATATTAATTAAAATATTGTTTGGTTCAAAAAAAATGTAATTCGACCGTCGTTAATGGATACTCCAACTAGAAATTACAGTTGATTTGTAAGAGATTAATCATTAAAGTGACATTCTGTTTAAATAATACTCTCAACGCAGAAAATATATTTATAAGAGAATTATAGTAAAAATATTTTCTTTTACGAAATATTGTGCTAGTGTTTCATTCTGATTTACTGAAAATATGATGAAAATAATTCATTCCGTTCGTTCATCAGGTAAGTAACTTTACATAATTAGCTATTATATTGTTATATGACCTAAAATAACAGATTAGTACATTAAAATTTCTTTTCGTTCGACAAAACTAATAAAAGAAAATTAATCATTATGATGATATTTACTAATTAATCATATTATTTTACAGCTACACTGAAATGTTTATGGATCAATAGTAAGCCGACCATTATTAAGCTTCTTCGCCGTGAGTATAACATTCTATAAATTAATAATAATTCAATAATAGTTTTAAATATTGTTTAATCATATATTTATATAAAACAATAATTTTATTTTTTCAGTTCTGGAATGCATTCTTTATGCTATCCAAGTTGTTACATGGTAAATAGAACAAATTACTTTAAAACTCATAACAAATTTAGATCTTTTTTTGTAGAGTAATAAATTAATATATTATAAATAGGTTTGCATTAGACAACACAAATAGGTTGATTAAACATCTAGACCGCCACGTTCATTTTGATAACAATATTACCTGCATTGAATATGAAGTGGACACAGATAACGAAACAATAGAAGAGTCCAATGAACATCGAAATGCAAGAGATCAAGTATAAATTTACATGAGCATTTTTTGCATACAACTTATTAAGTATTATCTGTTTTTACCACTCACTTGCTGACCCAGTGAAACGCCAAAACCAATAGCTAAAAAAAGGACTTGGCGCTATATTAACGGAGTCGAGTCACACATCTTGGGACACAAAATTACCACCCTTGTTGTTCGCCGCACTGCGCAATAGGCGTAACGACACGACCGGATACACGCCGTCCGTACTCGTCCTATGCGGGGACGATAACCGTAAACCGGGTGACTGGCTACTTCAGCGGGTAGCACCCGCCGCTACTAACGACGGCCGTATAGAACGCCAACAGCGAATCACCCAAAACAAACATAACACTGTTGTTTACTACAAAGCGCACCGAACGCGAACAAAAAGTTTTGCGCCCAAGTTGTGTGGCTCAGTTAGACTAGCCGAACGCCTTGGTAAAGGGGTATTTTTAACCGACCAGTCCCCACCAAGGAAAATTCACGTCTCATGTATGAAAATGAAATAATAGAAAATGTTTTCTTTTTTTTTGGTTTCTTTTAAATTTTCTCATTCTCATGCATGAAGATTAATGTATGTGATGTAATTAATTATGTCCTCGGCTCACGTAACAGTATCCATATAGACCTGTCGGATAGATATATGACTAATAAAATTTTCTTTTCTCTTTTGTTACTTTTCAGCATGAACAACGACACCACAACAAACACACCGGGCCCCGTGGTTACCGGCGGATCCGCTCCCACACGTGTTACGTTCGTCGGAGGATGCCGCCCGCGCTCCCTTCTCCAGGTGTTACGTAACCCCGTGGCCCACCACAAACGGGATGTTCGGGTAGGTCGCGAGAAAGTAAGGCGGAAAATGTAGAATGCGCTAAACGCTCTTCTCCGTACCTTCCCCTCTAACTCGTAAGCGCTAACTGCCGCCACCAAGATCTGCATGGTAATGTGGCGGCACAGCATTTTCCCCACCAGCCTACTCCAGGAAGGGCCACAACAAGCAATACGGGAGTATATGCTAAGACTCATCCATTAACCTCTATCAATTGAAAAAAATAAAATTGTGTTTTATACTCAGGATGAGCAACAAAATGCCATAGCTCCGATAAATCAAGTTTTTGACGATGTTGACATTAATAATCCCAATGATTTACCTTTGATTGAATCGAATGATCAAAGTACTTTTTTTGTGCCCAATAAAAATGTGAGTATCGAATTATGATTACAATTTAATTATTAGTGTCAATTTTTTATATTAAAGTATAATTGTGTTGTATACTAAGGGTGAAAAACAAAATGTCATAGCTTTGGAAAATGAAGTTTTTGGCGATGCTGACATTAATGATGCCAATAATTTACCTATGACTGTATTGAATGATGAAAATACTCATTTTTTGGCCACTGAAAATGTGAGTGCCAATTTCTCCGAAATATTTTATTGTTAAATCATATAAAATATACATTTTTAATTGTATAAATATAATCTCTTTCAAATAGCTATTATATATTTTTGTGTTCAGGACAATGGTTTATATAAAAATGAGTCACAAAATGTCATAGGTTCAGTACATGACGATGCTGACATTAACGATGCTGTTGATTTAACTTTGACTTTGACGAATAGTGAAAATTCTCCTCTTGTGTCCACTGAAAATGTGAGTGTCAATTTATGTTTACAATTTCTCCGAAATATTTTATTGTTAATTCATATAAAATATACATTTTTAATTATATAAATATAATCTATTTCAAATAGCTATTATATATTTTTGTGTGTTAGGACAATGGAACAATAAAGCAATGTCAGTTAACTCAGGTAAAAAAAGATGAAAGACGGTTCATGATGAAAGATATGGCAAAGTTTGACTTGAATGTAAACTATGTATATCGTCTAAGAGTGTTGTACACTGCTAAAAACTATATCTTTTTGGCTAAAGTGAACGAAGAAAATTCTATTAGGGCACTTGAAAGACGCATTAATGTTTTTTACAGTTACTCTAAGGAAAAAACTTACACCCCACAATTAGATGAGCTATGCGTTATTAAATATAGTAATAACCTTTAAAGTTATTAACTTAATTAACTTGTAAAAGTAATTAATAGTTAAGTATTTTAGTCGAGATTTGTAATTTTAAAGTTAAACAAAATTACTCAAGTCATCAGATTCATTTAATAATTAAATAACTAATTAGTTATATCTTTAAAATACTCAATAAATGAATAATGACTCCGAGTGAAAATATGTGAATCTAAATAAAATTTATCATCAAACTTTGCTAATTACTTTTATCTTAATTTTAGACGACGGTAATTGGTACAGAGGCATCTGTAAGGCCATCAATGAAGATGTTGATGGAAAAATGACATTTTTTATAACACTGCTAGATTGGGGTGATTTCATTTGTGTAAATGTTAATAACATACGAAAAATACAGCCATTTTTCATTCAACACACACCTTTAGTAGTAAAATGCGTTCTTAGAGGTAACTATTTATCATGACAACATGAGGTTGTTTATTTAACATTTAAAGTGATAATTCAATGAAATGTAATTAACCTTTTATTTTTAGATTTGAAACTTTCACGTTTTTCGAAGAAAATTTTAAGGAAACTGTCTAACAAAGTCTTTAATTGCAATGTATTCTCAAGATTTGGACCGACTTATTATGAAATTAAGTCAGAGCAGATATCTAACTTATTAAAAAATTAAAAATTAATTTGAGTGTCAACTAGTTGGCAATTTAACATGAACATATTTATCTTGCTAATTTATAATTTACAAGTAGCTCGTTTTTAAAGAAAATTTCTTAATCCATTATTACATGTTTAGTAATGTACAATTCATTCCAAAACTTATACAACAATTAATAAAAACTATTTATGAAATTTAATCATATATCTGTTAAATAAAGTTGAAAATATATTGATATAATTATGTTTATATAAACATATTGTTCTTCATTTAACAATTATGTTAAGAAATATCAATTATCAGTTTGCATTAATAGAACCTTTACATTTTATGAACGAAAATTACCATTAATTTTCATTGGTGTGATTTATTTTACAATGTGAGTTATGAGATTAGTAAAAAAAATCAACTGATATTTTGTATATTATAACTATATAAAGATTTAATGACAAATATCTTTATGAATTTTACCTTCTAACTAATTAAAATATTATTAATAGTGGTATAGTTAATTATATAATATACACTAATTGCAATTATATTACTAAGAAAAAAATATTTTTATTCATAGCCTGCATTGAAACTTATTAGAATAGATAATTATTTAAATTCTATTGATTGATTGAGCTTCAGTAAACTTAGTTGAGAATATGATAGGTAGTAGTAAAATAATCTTATCCTTATCTTATACAATATAAAATTACAATTCATACAGTTTTTATTATTATAATAATAGATTTAATTTATTTATAAGCATTTCTTTAAGAAGAAATGGTATTATAAGAGAGAATAATTTGTGATTTTTTTATATTTATGTTTGAAATAATCGATGAAAAGAAAAAAGAATGTTAAAGAAACATTTAAATAATTAATTAATTCTTGATTGCTATGTAAATATATCGATAGTTAATAGTGAATAATAATAGTGTAATATTATGGGTGTACTTAAAAAATCTATCATAATTATTTAATTATATTATGAGTTTAAATTATCATTTGTAAATTCACAAATAATAATTGTGTTCACATTTACTATAAATGTTGTATAACGACGATTAATTGTTATGGTGTAACATTAGTGTATATGACTGTTCGCGAGTAAATCATCAGATTATTTTTTTATGACAATTACTTAATGTGGATTGCGTGTGCTAAGTATATTTTATACTGATGTAAACTAAGTAAACGGTATTTTCTTCCTTTTCAAGAAAAAAATATTTTTAAAGGAAATTAAACATGCATTTATTGAGCATAGATCATTTTTTTCTTTTTTTAATAAGACCTTATAAAGAGAAAGAAAAAGCGATAAAAAATATAAATAAAATTACTAATATGAAGATTGTAAAAAATACAGGGTGATTTTTTTATCATAACCCACTCAATTACTTGCAGAATAATAATAATTTAGACATTTTTTTTTCCATTATCTTTAGTTACACATTATTCTTGAATTTTTAACTATGTAATACTTTTTAAGTTCATCCCTTATGCCTTGGAAGGGGGTCAACTTTGTTTTTTTAAATGGTAACACATATTTTTAATTTAATAAAATGTTTGAGTTTTTAATTTAATAGTAAATGGCATTTGAATTTTTAATATAACTT